GGTTCTTAATACAAAGCCGCACTTGGCTTTGCAGGAGGCAGGCCCCAGACTCGCTGGCTCAGCCTTTGCTGGCGATCACGGAGGCTTTTCATCCAAGGACTGCCAATCAAGGTTGTGAGGCCCCTGCACAAGTCAGATCCCTCCTGCCTTTGATTTTCTTTTATTTCTTTGATGGTTTCTCCCCTCTTCTGCCTTGCCAGTTCTCCGAGCCAACCTGTGAGTTTTTTGTGGCCCCTTCTGCCTCCTCCAAACACACATCATCACATCCACGCTCAAAGACTCACACTTGAGGGCCTTGGCCTAGATCCCTGATGGAAAATGGCTCTTGAGGAAATCAAAGAAAACCCACTTAAGTCACGAGCCGAGAGGATTCCCCGGGGGCTGGTGCAGCTGGTAGGCTGAGTTGGCATTGGGCTATTTGTTATGAGTTGAGGGATGAGGCGAGTCTCTGTACGGTCCATCCTACAATCTCTCTCCACTGGGTTCCTGAAACTCCCATATTGATAGAGAAATATCAATTTCCAAATTAGAAACGAGGACTTCATGTCTGAGAGGTTATCAGAAAAATAGGGTAATCAGAAAAAAATGTGGCCAAATCTGGGATGAATAGTCACTCAGAAATCGATTTTGCTTCATAGCTTAGTTGCAATCATGGCAGAGGCTGCTTGCTTGGAATGCTGTTGAAAAGGAATCTGGGGCCACATCTGGGTTTAGCGGGGGGAATAATGCAGGGATGTATTAGGAAAGTCTGAGACAGTCATGGGATGGGTTAGTGGGAGCGTGACAATATTGGCTTTACACACAAATGGCTTCATGGAGGGCTAACAGTGAAATGCTATTAGCTTTTAACATCTTGGCATGAATTAAATGATTAAATTAGCTGCTCATCCCCTCCCAGGGCTCTACGAGAATGGAGTCACAGGGTTGGTGATGTTTCTTTTAATGGCTTATTTTTCCCTTTTTTAATTAAGTTAACATTTGCATCACATAAAATTCACCATCTTGACCATTAAAGGTGTAAAATTCAGCGGTTTTTAGTACACTCACGAGGTTGGGCAACTATCACCACTATCTAATTTCAGAATTTTTCATCATCCCCAAAAGATATCCTGTATCCGTTAAACAGTCACTCCTAATTTTCCCCTCCCCTCAGCCCCTGGCAGCCACTAATCTGCTCTTTGTCTCTGTGGACTTGCCTATGCTGAATATTTCCTATAAATGGAATCATACAATATTTGTCCTTTTGCATCTGGCTTCTTTCACTTAGCATGATGTTTTCAAGGTTCATTCATGCTGTAGCATGTATCCTTTCTTTTCATGGCCGAATAGTATTCCATTGTGTGGCTATAACATATTATGTGTATTCATTCATCCGTTGATGGACATCTGGGTTTTTACCTTTTGGCTATTGTGAATAATAACATAATAAACACCCACATCCAAGTTTTTGTTCACACACCTGTTTTCACCTCTCTCTTTTAAAATTAAAATTAAAAATTAAAAATTTTTGTTTTCATCTCTCTTGATTGAATAGGTGTAAGTTTTTTTTCCCTTTCCCCCCCCCCCCGTTTTGGTAGTATGTA